GCCTGACTTTGCTGTAATAAAACACACATAGTTCCTGTCCTTCAGATCTAGATTCTAAAACAAGCATACGAGCAGATGTGTCATATCAGCATGTTTAGTACATTGGATACATAGGTCTGTATATTGTCACACACAAAGTAAGATCTTTTTTTAAACCCTGATGTTAAACTTTCCCAAGTGCTTTTTTTTCTTTTATTTTCTTTTTAATTTTTTTAGATTTTATTTATTTATTTTTAGAGGGGGAGGGAGGGAGAACAAAAGGGAGAGAAACATCAATGTGAGAGAGAAACATTGGTCAGTTGCCTCTCCTACACACCCCGCCCTGGGATGGAACTGCCAGCCTTTCACTTTGCAGGATGACACTCAAGCAATGAACCACCCTGGCCAGGACCAAATTAAGATCTTTATCAGTAAAATAATTGACAAGTTATAAAAACTGTCTTGTATTCACATAAGGTTTTTTTTTCTTTTGTTTTTAAATTGACATAAAGCTTTCATTTTAAAGTTATGTACACAAACTATATAAGAATATACAGATTACAAAATTGAATACCAGAAGAACACTTTTGAATTTGTACATTGTAAGTTATTTTTCAGCCTAGGCAGGATTATTAAATAAAATGCTAATAGACCATTGAAAAATAGACTTCATTATGTTTTAGGTTTCGAATTAAGCTAACTTTTTAAAATATATTTTATTGCTTATGCTATTACAGTTGTCCCATTTTCCCCCCTTTATTCCCCTCTGCCCTGCATAATCTGTCCCACCCACATTCCCCCCCTTTAGTTCATGTCCATGGGTCACACATATAAGTTCTTTGGCTTCTACATTTCCCATACTATTCTTAACCTCTCCCTGTCTATTTTCTGCCTCCCATTTATGCTACTTATTCTCTGTAAGTTTTCCCCCTCCATGTGATCTCCATTTCTGTGATTCTGTTCCTATTCTAGTTGTTTGCTTAGTTTGTTTTTGTCTTTGTTTAGGTTTGGTTGTTAATAACTGTGAGTTTGTTGTCATTTTCCTGTTCATATTTTTTATCTTCTTTTTCTTAGATAAGTCCCTTTAACATTTCATATAATAATGGCTTGGTGATGATGAACTCCTTTAACTTGACCTTATCTGAGAAGCACTTTATCTGCCCTTCCATTCTAAATGAAAAATTTGCTGGATAGAGTAATCTTGGAAGTAGGTCCTTGCCTTTCATTACTTGAAATACTTCTTTCCAGCCCCTTCTTGCCTGCCAGATTTCTTTTGAGAAATCAGCTGATAGTCTTATGGGCACTCCTTTGTAGGTAACTGTCTCCTTTTCTCTTGCTGATTTTAGAGATAAGATTCTCTCCTTATCTTTAATCTTGGGAAATGTAATTCTGATGTGCCTTGCTATGTTCCTCCTTGAGTCCAGCTTCTTTGGGACTCTCTGAGCTTCCTGGACTTCCTGAAAGTCTATTTCCTTTGCTAGTTGGGGAAGTTCTCCTTCATTATTTCTTCGAATAGTTTTCAACTTCTTACTCTTTCTCTTCTTCTTTTGACACCCCTATGATTCGGATGTTGGAACATTTAAAGATGTCCTGGAGGTTCCTAAGCCTCTCCTCATTTTTTTGAATTTTTATTTCTTCATTTTTTTCTGGTTGAATGTTTCTGTCTTCCTTCTCCAAACCATTGATTTGAGTCCCGGTTTCCTTCCCTTCACTGTTGGTTCCCTGTACATTTTCCTTTATTTCACTTAGCATAGCCTTCATTTTTTTCCCTCTAATTTGCAACCACATTCAACCAATTCTGTGAGCATCCTGATTACCAGTGTTTTGAATTGTGCATCTATCTAATAGGTTGAGTATCTCTTCATCACTTAGTTGTATTTTTTTCCGGAGCTTTGATCTGTTCTTTCATCTGGGCCATGTTTTTTGGCCCAGAACATCTGTTACATAGTAAGGGGTGGAGCCTTAGGTGTTCACCAGGGCAGAGAAACCCACATTCTGTGTTGTGATGCTGTATGTGGGGAAGCAGTCTGAGAGGGAACAATGCTGCTTGCTCTGCTCTCTGCCAGCTTTCAGCCACTTCCCTGCTACCCACAAGCAAATTGGGCCCTTCTGGTGCTGATTCCCACGTGGATGGGTTTGTGTACCTTCTAAGACCCTGTGGTCTCTCCAGTGAACTCTCCTGTGAGGCTGGGAGTTTCTCCCACTGCAGCCTCAACCCCCACAGATGTTTTCAGTCAGAGGCTTTGAGGCTTTATTTCCCCTTTCTGGAACCCTGGGTTTTGCTGTCTGTCTGGCTTCCCAGTTGTTCCTCCTTGTTTATCTGCACGAGAATGTGGGACTGCCCAGTGTGCAAGCCACTGCTTCTCCCGGTCTGCCAGCTGCTGCCTGGCCAAGAGTCCTCTCCACTTGGCTCCCTGTCTTCTTCCTCATACCAGTCTGGATGAATGTTTCTTCTTTAACTCCTTGGTTGTCAGACTTCCATACAGTTCGATTTTCTGTCGGTTCTGGTTGTTTTTTGTTTTCAAATTTGTTGTCCTTCTTTTGGTTGTGCGAGAAGGCACAGTGTGACTATCTACGCTTCCATCTTGGCTGGAAGTCTATGCTAACTTTTATAGTATGTTTAAAAGCAAGGTAAAACTAAAGCTGTAAAACTTTGACTTGGAATAGGCAGTGTTTTCCCAGGACACAAAGCAATGACCATAAAAAAATGAAGTGAGAGATTTCATCAAAGCTCTTTAGATAAATAAATAAAAATAAAAGCATCTATCATGCAAAGAAAATACTAAGAAAATGAACAGGTAGTTCAGACCAGTGTGGCTCAGTTGGTTGAGCATTGTCTTACAAAGCTAAAGGTTGCTGGTTCAATTCCCAGTCAGAGCATATGCCTAGATGTCTCTCTTGCTCATTTTCTCCCTCCCTTCCCCTCTCTCTAAGAACAAATAACTAAAATATTGAAATTAAAAAAAGAAAATGAACAGGTAAACCACAGATTGGGAGAAAATATTTGTAAAATATATATATAACAAGGACTTGTTTCTAGTCTGTCTAAAGAATACCTGGCAAATTAATATTAAAAAGACAACCCAATTAAATAATGGACAAAAAACTTGAACATACATTCACAAGGAAAGATATGTAAGTGACCAATGAGCACATGTGGAAATGCAAATTACATTACCCCCTATAGAATATGTGAAGTTAAGACTGACAACATAAAATGTTAGCGAGCTCATGGAGCACCCGTGTTGTCATACATGGCTTAGAGAACTGTCTGAATGGGACATCTGCTTTGGCAAAACTGATTTGGCAGATTTTTAAAACAGCTCTATTGAGATATAATTTTCAAATAATAAAATACCCATTTTGAGTGTGCAGTTCAATTAGTCTTAGTAAATGGATACAGTCGTGAAACTACCACCACAATCAAGATAGGTAATATTTCCATCACCTTCTTGCCCATTTGTATAGTAAATTTTTCCCCTTTCCTTTTGCCTCAGGCAACTACTGATCTTTCTGTCTCTGTAGTTTTGCCTTTACTAGAATTTCATATAAAGGAAATAAAGCATTATGTAGTGTTTCATGTCTGGCTTCTTTTACTTAGCAAAAATATTTTTTAAGATTATTAACAACTGCATTTAAAAATGAACAAAAGATTTAAACGTTTTACTAAAGAAGGTAAATGAATGACCAGTAAGCACACAAGAGGATATTCAGTGTCACTAGTCATGAGAAAAATATAAATTAAAGCCACAGTGAGATAATACTTTACCCCCATCAGAACAGCTAAAATTAAAGACTGAGAATACAAGTGTTGGCAACTTGAACTCAAATACACTATTGGTGAGAATGCAGAATGATGTAACTACTGAAAACAGATTGGCAGTTTTTTTAAAAGTTAAATCTACACTTACCATATTATTACTCATTCATTTACTGCAAGGTATTAAAAACCTTGAGGTTTTCACTGACATGATGCTGAATTTAAAAAAGAGTACATATAATTCCGTATTTATGAGTTACTTAATAAGTAAAACTAATTGTATTACTTTTCTATTGCTGCCATAACAAACTACCAAAAGCTTAGAGGTTTAAACAAGGCAAATTTATTATCTTACAGTTCTGTAGGTCAGAAGTATAAATCCTGGTCTCAGTAAGATGCTGGCAAAGCTGCATTCTTTTCTGTAGGCTCTCAGTAGGATGCATTTCGTTGCCTTTTTCAGCTTCTAGAGGCTGTTGCATTATTGGCAGTTGGTCCCCTTTCTCCATCTTCAAGCCAGCATGGCATCACCATGAGCTCTTGTGCTTCCCTCTTCAACTCTTAAGGACCCTTGTGATTACAGTGAGCCCATTCAGATAATTCAAGATAATCTCCCTATTGTAAGGTCATCTGACTAACAACTTAATTTCTATCTGCAACCCTAATTTTCCTTTGCCATGTAAAGGAACATATTTACAGGTACTAGGGATAAGGTCTTGGGCATTTTGTGGGACCATTATTCTACCTTCCATACTAATATAACATGAGAAAAATCAGAATGGAGTTTGCCTCTTAGGAGCACACAGTGGCCAGGTGAGAAAAATTGACTGGGAAAGGATGGATATGTGGGAATTTTCTGGCAAAGTAGAAATATCCTGTATCATGATAGAGGTGTCTGTTATTACAAGGATATCTTTAATTGTGAGTGCATTTCATTGTATGTAAGAGTACTGTTAAAAATAAAACCAAAGGAGAGGGGCATTGGGAGTGGGTGGAAGAACAGATGAAACAAAAATGGCAGACTGTTAGCTTTGAAACTGGTAAAAAGTACCTCGGAGCTCATTATATTACTCTGTTTACTCTAGTTTAATTTGTAACTTTTCATATTCAAAAATGAAAAGAATAATAATTTAATTCTAAATAGTTAAGTCTCTAAATGCCATGAAAATATTTGTTTATAAAATCTGATTGAATCTGATTTATTTCAAATGTTAATTTTAATATATCAAACTTTGCAGTAATAACTAACGACTCTCTTTTGCAGCCACGAAGAACTATACTCAGGTCGCCCTTATGGAGCTCTTGATTCAGGCTTCAATAGTGTTGACAGTGGTGATAAGAGATGGTCAGGGAATGAAGTAAGTGTTACTCTCTTCTGCATGCTATAACTCCAGATTAACAGGAAATAAAATGATGAAAATGAAAAGTTTCTTAATTGGGCTCAATTTACCATTCCATAAAATACAGAAAAGCCAAGATAATGGTAAAAATTCTACATAGTCATACCATCCAAAAATGGTATTATGTTTTTTTTACCATCTTTTTACCATGTGTGTTTTGCATCTTTATTACCTCATTATCTTGTATAAATAGTTTTACAAGATACATATAATTCCATATTTATGAGTTACTTAATAAGTAAAACTAATTGTATTACTTTTCTATTGCTGCCATAACAGAAAAGCCAAGATAATGGTAAAAATTCCACATAGTCATACCATCCAAAAATGGTATTATGTTTTTTTTACCATCTTTTTACCATGTGTGTTTTGCATCTTTATCCTAAAAACCTAAGTGGGAACTGAGTCAGTAACAACTAATGGGTAAAGAGATGGGAACCTTAGTGAAGAATATCCACATGCTCAAGATAAACAACTTTCTTGGCTCATTGTACCATAGTTCTCTTTTATTTAGTTACTAGTATTATGTTTTCTCTTTTTGAAAATTACTAAGATACAATATTTTAGCTATAGATTGGTTTAAATGATTAAATCAACTTTTCTTTAACAAGATTTACCATTCATAAGATTGTTTCATGGGAAGTCCAAAGCAAAGTAATTTCAGACAACTGCCAATTTGTAATTTGGAATTGCTTCTGTATTTGTGTGGGTTGGTATCTTCATAATTGTGGCTATATCCACACAGGTACATAGATGTACCTGTACTTTGAGTTCATGTACATATGTATACATATTTATAGAGTCATATATGCCCTTCTATTTTTTAAATCATGGTCAAATACACATAAAATTTGTCATTTTAACCGTTTTTATGTGTACATTTAATGGCATCAAGTACATTAACATTGTTGAGAAATTGTCACCATTGTGCATATGCAGAACTTTTCCTCTATTTCTTAAGTATAAATTTTAATGAGTTTATATTATATCCATGCTTTTAAATACTTCGTTGTGTAAAATTTAGGATGATGTTTCTTAATGTTTCTGCTATTTTTTAAGCCTACAGATGAATTTTCAGATTTACCTCTTCGAGTAGCAGAAATTACTAAAGAACAAAGACTACGAAGAGAAAACCAGTATCAAGAGAATCTCAGCAGTTTAGTAGTAACAAATGGTGGAGGTAAACAGTTCCTGACTGACATCTGAAGTCTTTATAATCACTCTAGTTTGTTGTTGTTGTTTTTAAGTTTTATTTTTTTAATCCTCACCCAAGGATATGTTATTGATTTGAGAGAAAGAAACATGGATGTGAGAGAAAAACGTCCATTGGTTGCCTCCTGTATTCACCCCAATTGGGAACCTAATCCACAACCTTTTTGGTGTACTGGGTGATATTTCAACCAACCGAGCCACCCAGCCAGGGCCACTGTAACTCTTTCAAGTGGTCTTTTCCATACCTACTCCTTTGGTTTGTATATCTGGAGATTCTTCAGCTCTTAAAGACTTTCTCTTCTTGTCCTGGCTAGTGTGGCTCAGTGGATTGAGTGCCGGCCTGTGAACCAAAGGGTGGCTGGTTCGATTCCCAGTCAGGACACATGCCTGGGTTGCTGGCAGGGTCCCAGTTGGGGGTGTGTGAGGGGCAACCACACATTGATGTTTCTCTCCCTCTCTTTGTCCTTCCCTTCCTGCCTCTCTAAAAATAAATTAATAAAGTATTTTAAAAACCAAACAAACACAAGACTTTCTCTTTTCATATGATTGCGAAAAAATTGTTTTCTATTAGGATTAAACTTGGATTTCTCTGTGTTCAGGTTCTCAGTTAAAATACAGTGTTTCTCTCTTATTTTCATTTTGGGAAGAAACTTTATTAAAGACATTTTACCTGGACTAGACCTTTGTTAACTTGGATTTAACCTGGATCTTCTTTTGAAATACTATTCTCCTTTTAAAAGACTTTTTTTATGTATGGTCATTATTTGACCTCTTTTAGGAATTCAGTGCTGTTCTTCATTACATTTTCATTCATCTGGAATTGTGCTTTTCCAGGGCATCTGAATCTTGAGTTTTCCTTATTCTGGTATTTTAAAATTTGTGGTTTAAATTTTTTTTTCATTTTTTAATTGTTTTTATAGTTCATTAACAGACTTCTTTGCTTCCTTGTGCTTTTGAGGTAGACTCTTGATTGTAGTATTCTATTTAATATTGCTTTAGTTTGAATTACCAAATCCTAATTATTAGATTTTGAGGGTTAGCTATAAGGGAGAAATGACTTTGATTTTCCAGAAATCCATTATATTATCTGAGAAGAGCTTTCATCTCTGAATCATGATTTCAATTCAGTGGTTTGCTGTCATTTTTTCTTACCATATTATATTCTTTTTTTTTTACTCCTGTCACTTATTTTATTCATATTTCAGTAGTTTTCTTTTTAATCTTGCTTGTATGTGAGATATCTTTCTCATTGGTTCATTTCTGACTTAAAATAATGTCTATATCTGTGCTGTCCAATATGGTCAGCACACTGACCACATGTGGTTATTGAGCATTTGAAATGTGGCTTTTCTGAATGGAGATGTACTATAAGTGTAAAACATCAGATTTTGAAGATTTTGCATGAAAAAAGAATGTAAAATATTAGTAACGTTTTATATTGATTATATGTAGTAATGATAATATTTTAGATATATTTGACAAAATAAAATATAAAATTAGTCACCTTTTTTGAGTTTTTAAAAATGTGGCTACTAGATTATGTAAAATTACATTTATGGTTCACTTTTGTGGCTTATATTCTATTTCTCTTGAAAGAAAAATGTGATGTTACTTTCTTTAGAATTAGTCATAACAAAATTAACTATTTATTTAGCCACACAAGTTTTAGCACATGGAAAAAATTCATTTCTGTACCTGGTTTCTAATGTGGGTGTAACTATTAATATTAATAACTCTGGTAACTCAAATTTATTTTTGTATTAACTGCAGTTATGGAATTCTCCAAATTCACTGTTCCCAGAAACACAACTTTTAGGCTTTCTGTACACCTTCATACAATAATAACTGGGGTATAATACATCTCTGAAGAAACCATCAAGGAACTAGCAAGTTTTTTTTGCCTAGTGTGCTATTTTAACAGGTTTTTAAAAATGATTACTTTCTAAACTTAAAAATAATAGGGCATTCCCACACTTAATGATGTGGTTAAATTTTATTTATATGTTTCTCCTCACCCCAAAACATTTTGAGAAGAAAAACTTTCCCAAATGATTTTCTTCTATCCATAAACTATCTAAAATATCTACAGTGTTGACTTCTAGAAAATCATTTTCAAAATAGAAAACCTTTGTTCTAGTTATGGATACCAGTTATAGGAGGGAAACAGCAGTCAGTATCTATTTCTTCATCCTCAAGTGTACTTTCCTCCCACCCTTTCTCTTTTCTTTTGACTTGATTATGTTAGGTTTCGTGCCTTCCACCTTTTCAAAGAGAAATATGTTTGCACCCCAAATCTGAAACGTGGGGAAAGAACCTAAAAGATGTACCTTTCGATGTTTAAAATTATTCTCCCTTTGTTTGTGTCACAAACTCAGATTGTCTTATTTAAAACAGTAAAGAGCTATCCTAAGGAAAAAGAAATATTAGAAGTCTGTATTCCAATAATTACCCATTAGTGCACTATGGCTAAGATTTGTCTGGAGCCTGTTTCTGTGAGTGGTCATGGGCTAAGTAATAAAGGCGTTACATAATGTAAACTCATTTCTTCTGCTTTCAGAATAGAAAATGTTAGGGGAAAGGAAAGGATGCAATTTAATGTCTTTCACTAGCTCTCTAATGTGAATGTTTTTTCCGGCGTGTGTGGTGTGGACAGCAGAGCATGATCTGGACCAGATTGACTACATTGACAACTGTGCTGCAGAGGATGAAGAGGAGGAGGCAAGACAGCCCAGGGGCCTGGACTCAGACAGCCTCAGTTCACAGTTCATGGCGTACATTGAACAACGGCGAATCTCTCATGAGGTGGTACACGCGTTTAAGCCTAATAGTGTTGCTATCCCCTAGTAAAAATAATTTATGGTGGTATAAATTTCTCTCATAGTAGTGATTTGTTGATTTAGGTTTGATTATTTGTTTTATTTTAAGTTCCAATCTCATTAATTATTTTCAGGTTCTTTTTTTTAAAGACAGTAGTCTCAAATAGGGTTTAAGTTTATTTTTCAAATAAAATGATTTTAGAATTTTGAAAAAGGAATTAAAGGTGTTCTAATATCCTTTGCCTTTGAAGAAAATGCAAAGGAATATGATGCTTTTCACTGTTCTTATTGCTGTTTTTAATAATAGTTTTTATTATTATATTTTTTCCATTACCACTTATCCCCTTTATGCCCTCTTTCACACCCATCCACCTCCCCCTGCAAGAGCCACATTGTCATCTGTGTCCATGAGTCCTTTTTCTTTTTTTTTTTTTGATTCCTCCACTCCCCAATCCTGCCTCCAGCTGTCATCCTTCTACATATGAGTCTGTCTCTATTTTGCTTGTTAGATCAGTTTGTTCATTAGATTCCACATGTGAATGAAATCATATGGTATTTGATTTTCTCTGACTGGCTTACTTCACATAGCATAATGTTCTCCAGGTCAATCTGCTGTCAAAAAGGGTAAATTTTTTTCTTTTTTATGGCTGAGTAGTATTCCATTGTATAAATGTCTTAGAGCTGTTTTATCTACTGGTGGGCACTTTGGCTGCTTCCAAATCTTGACAGTTGTAAATAAGGTTGCAATGAACGTAGGGGTGCTTATGTTCTTTCAAATCAGTGATCAGGTTTCTGGGATAAATTCCCAGAGGTAGAATCACTGGGTCAAAAGGCAGATCTATTTTTGACTTTTTGAGGTAACTCCATACTGCTTTCCACAGTGGCTGTACCAGTCTGCATTCCCACCAATAGTACAGACAGGTTCCCCTTTCTCCACATCCTTGCCAGCACTTGTTTTTTGATTTATTGATGATGGCCATTCTGATAGGTGTATTATTACTAACTGATAAATCATGTTTTGATCAGTAATTAAGAATTGAACCAAACTGATGACTTTTGGAGCAACATACAAAGTTAACTATAGAATTTTTTTTGTCAGTCTACCCTCCCCCCAAATCTGATTACTTGGGATTGGATTTTCTGAAGCTGGGGACGTGAGTTGTATACTTGAAACAGGGAGTTTTCTTTCCCTGATGGGAGAGTCCGAACATCAAAAAGTAAAAAGAATGCCTATGGATTGTTTGTCTTGTGCTTCATTCTAATCTAGTTGCTTCTTGGTACTGGGTCAGTTATTTTGCTACCTTGCCTGTTTCTCACACTTTGTTCTGGATGATTATAGCCATTATTCTATCATCTTAATAGGTGCAAGTGGAGATCTAGGTCATAAAACTTTTCCATTTTCTGAATATTTTATACAGTACACACCTTTGTAGACCAGATAGCAGTAGCTCCTTCTGACCTTCTACAATGGTGAGACTGCAAGTCATTCCACAAGTGGGATAGAGGAGGAATTGTTTGATGCGGCATTTCATTGGGACAGAAATGGCCAGACCCATAGAATTTTTATAATGAGCTTAATTATATTGGAGCTTTTACGCTCAGTCACAGAGAATATGAATTGTTTTCCATTAAAATTCTTGGGTGTCTCTTAGAGTGGAGCATTGAGTTGGCTTATGAAACAAATGAGCATTCAGTCCACTGCAGACTCTCTGCCAATTCCCCAAGGGTCTCAAGTAGAAATAGCATTCTTCAGTGTATCTAGTCAGCATAATAAAATGGCTCCATTTCAGTGTGTGTGTGTTGATGTCTGGAGTTGGTCCCAGGCTCTAAGCAGGGGTTGTTGAGAAATACTTGGGCCTTTTTGGAGAGTCATGAAATAGAGAATAATCACTTAAGTCCTGCAACCCAAAGATAGTGTGTAGTAGGTGATTAATGAACCCACTGTGGTTCAGGCTATAAACATCCCTGTAAGAGCAACTGATTCATAATAAAGTGAAAATTAACAATGCACACTATAATCTTAAAGAGAATCTTTTTTCTTGTGGTCTTTCTCTTTGATCATTCTATGGTTAATTAAGCTGTATAAATGAGGTAATTCTACTCAAAGTGATTATAATAACTCTCACATACATAGAAGTACTATGATAAAATAGGGTATGATTTACATTTGTAGAATATGACATCTTTTTTTAAAAAATTAAACCAGTGTCACATTCATTTTGTTGTGACAATTTCATGTACCTCTTGGTAATAATTTCAGATAATTGCAGTGTACAACAGGGTGATAAGTCACTGGTGGTTACACACTAGGAGAGATTTTTGCTTATTTTAAAAAGCCTTGTTGACTGAAATTAGAATAATTATTTTCTCATCAGAATTCTAAAATTGTAACTCATTTTGTATGATTCTCATACCCAGACAGACAGCTTTAGCCCTTTGCAATAACTCACCAAAGATTTTCTAGTTATATGTGATGTACCTGTTTTTTGGAGCTAGACCATAACTAGTTTTACATTTAGTTGTTAGATATACTTTTTGGATAAGTTGTTTTCTTTTTATTGAAGAACACCCATTTTGATGATTATTTTTAGTGTTGAAATAAGATTGCACTATTTCTATAAATTTTCATTTGACAAAATACATGCTGTGATAACCTTCAAGTTTCTTTGATTTATAATTTTATTTTTCAGTATGTGGTCCATATCACTTAAGTCTGCTTAATTTTCCTCAGTAATGTTTTTTGAAATGACCTTTACCCTTTAGTTTATAAATAAATTGCCAGTATTTTTCATTAATTAACATTTTACCATCAAAAGAAATTATTTTTTTCTTATCTTGATATTCCACCAACATCCCAGGACTATGTGTATGACTAATATAAGTAACAGTTTGTGATGATGAAGAAGAAATGCGATCTGCCCAAAGAACTCCCTATTACTGGTAGGGTACGTAGGAATTTCTGTTCTAGGTGGAAGTTTGTGCTAGGTGACCTCTAAGGTCCTTTTCAACTCAAATGTCTTATCATGCATTCATACTGTATGACCACTATAATTTACATAATGCAGTGAGACGGAAATCTACTTTTTTGAAAATAAAATAAACATTTTTAAATTATGAGTAGTTTTGTGTTTACCAAAGCAGTAAGATCACCTATAATGCTTTAAACATAAAAATTCACATTTGAAGATTCTGTTTATAATCTTTTTTAGTGTAATATACATGTCCCTAAATGCCAAGTTGAATGTGCATTGTGTAATCACAGTGTTCTGGGTACATGTGTTAAATTGATTTATTTTTGGTTTGTTTTTGTTTTGTTTTTTGGTGTAGGGTTCACCAGTAAAGCCAGTACCCATGAGGGAGTTTCAAAAAACAGAAGACATGAGAAGATATTTACATCAAAACAGGTTTGAAAAACCAATTCTATTCATTTGTTTCTGTCTTAAAACTCAATAAAAAGTATGAAATGATTTTGGTTTTATATAGATCTAGGTAGAATGAAGACTTTAGATCCTGTGTGTTTTAGATATTGTGTATTTAGAGCTGAGTGATAATGTGCCTTTCATCTCATATAATAGCAAAACAAGTAAAACTGATTTATTGATTCTAAATTCAGATCACCTAAGGCATTACCTAAAGAATTACTTGATTTGAAAATACTTCATAACAATGAGGTTTTTATGGTGCTATGTCTGCACAAATATAGCTAAATGAAATTTCCAGCCTTTGCTTTTTGCTTCTTCTCTGTTGTTATGAACTCTTTAAAGCAGCAGCCTTGACATGGTGTCATACATAGTTCTTTACTTATACTTGACAGGGTATTGTGGTGGTTTAGGGCACTGAGACATAGCTGGATAAAGAAAATGGGGAGAATAATTAAAGAAATTTATAACTTGGCCTTTTATAGTCATATCAGTCAGTTCATAGCAAATTAGTTAAATTTTATATTTTTGGAATTTATCTCAAAGTGGTTTTTGAGTTGCCAGCTCTACTTATACTGAGGGTATGGACTTCTGAGGATCCAATTTTATGCAGGGATTTCCTATTACATATTCGTACTTTGGATGAACGTAGACTCTACCTCCCATCCCTCTTAGTTCCTACATTCACCCTCAGTAAAGCTCAAGATCTCCAGAATTTAGTAGAAACCCTTAAGGTAAAAGCCAGCTTTTTTTGCTCAGTTGTCTTATGTATTAGTTTTTTATAATGCTAATATAATAAATTATCACAAATTTAACAGCTTAAAACACACTCGTTTATTATATCACAATTCTGTTGGATAGAAATCTTGACAGGATTTTCTTGGTTCTCTGCTGGAAGTCAAGGTTTTGGCTGGCCTGGATTCTTAATCTGGAGACCCTTGGAGAGAATCCACTTCTAGGCTTGTAAAGGTTTTTGGCAGAATTCAGTTCCCTGCAGCTGTAGACTAAAGTCCCCGTTTACCTTGTTGGCTATCAGCTGGGAGTTATTTTCAGCTTCTAGAGTCCACCCACATTCATTGGTTCATGGCTCCTTCTATATCAAGCCAGCAATAGTGAGCCAAATCCCTCTCACATTTTGAATCTCTTTGGTTTCCCTTTCTGCTGCATCTTATGAACTCTCTTGCTTTCCTTTCTTTTAAGGGCCCATATGATTATATTAGATGTACCTGGGTAATCTCCCCATTTTAAGGTCAACTAATGAGTAACCTTAATTTCATCTGTAAAGTCTTTTTGACCTGTAATGTATTCATTTAAAATAACACCAGGTGAGGAGATCATAGGGGCCAAAAATCTGCCTATCAAACCTTAATCCAGAGTTCCTATTTTTTAAAAGAATCCAGAGGGTTGGTTTTTTTTTAGAATCTTTGTGTTCTTTATTTTTAATGGCACTTCGGCATGATTTTGAAAATTATTTTATTCAACATTTTCATTGTTTCCATTGAAAGAGTCATTCAGACTGTCTAGTCCACCGCAGTGCGACAAACTGAAGCCATAATTACAGTCGTCCCTCATTATCCAGAGGGCTCAGTCCCAGGACCACTTTGGACTCCACAGTGCGCAAGTCCTAGTTGGCTCTCCGTATGTATGTCCAGGTTCTGCACTGGGGTTCCAGCCAACCAAGGGTTGAAAATGTTGGTTGAATCCTGGTACAGAACCTGCAGATGTAGAGGGCTGACTGTGCTTTTCATTGGGTGTTTCAAATCACTAGGCCTTAGTACAGTCTTTGGGTAGGAGCTCAGTACTTTATCCCAGTAAGCAGTTTAAGCTCTCAGATCAATGCATACAGTTGACCCTTAAAAAACATGGGGTTGAACTGCATGGGTCCACTTATATATGGATTTTTTTTTCCAGTAAATACTTCTGTTTTTGATTTGCAATTGGGAGTTCACAGATGTGGAAGGCCAACTTCATGCACTTATCTATGCCATTTTATGTAGGCGACATGAGCATCTGTGGATATTGGTATCAGCCGGGGAGAGGTGGGGTGGAACCAATTTTCCACAGATACTGAGGGATAACTAAGTTTTGGGGGTGTCAAAAGTTATAGGTAGATTTTTGACTGCAAGGGAGAGGGAGTTGGTGCTCCTAACACCCACATTGTTTAAGTGTCAACTGTACTTCACTTGTTTAGTTAGATATTTGCTCAATATCTTATGTGCCACTCTGTGTGCCAAGTACTTTTCCAGGTATTGAGAAATAGCTATGAACTTTAGTCGAAAAGTTCCCATCCTCCTAGAGCTTATATTCAAGTGGAATTACATTAAGTAGAACCTAGACAAACAGTCCTGGCTGGTATGGCTCAGTGGATTGAGCATGGGCTGCAAACCAAAGGGTTACCAGTTTGATTCCCAGTCAGGGCACATGCCTGGGTTGTGGGCCAGGTCCCCAGGAGGGGCCACCTAAGAGGCAACCACACACTGATGTTTCTTTCCCTCTGTTTCTCCCTTCCCCTCTCTCTAAAAATAAAAATAAATAATATCTTAAAAAAAAGAAAGAAAATACTAAGAAAGAATCAGAATGTTCTTAAAAAAAGGAATCTAGAAAGACAAAATTACCTCAAAATGACTGGCAACTCTCAGGCTATCAACACCTGTCTTAACCAAAAAAAAATTTATCAGTCTTCCCATTACAAAGACTAAAAGGAATTGAGGCAGTTTAACATACTGCTACTTGCCCATTAGTCATTGCTGAAGAGAAAGTTGCTCAGTTTTTCGTCTTAATTCTCTTTTCCTCCCCTCACCCACCAAGTGTGTTACTTCCTACCTTCCCCTTCCTTACACACATAGATACTACCTGCCTGCAGGATAATAGAGGTAAGGAGATGAATTATGATAAATTGGTAAGTGTTTTGTAGTTATTTACCAAGATGGATTAAATAAATATAAAGTTAAAACTAATAAATATCATTTTTAAAAAAGGGTTTACTTATTTGAATGGCATTTTAGTTCAGGAGAGATGATAGTATCAGGCTAGGTCTTGTAAAGTTTATTAATTTCTATTAGAAGAATATAGAATTAAAAAACATTTGGCTATAATCATAGTTTAGATTTCCACATCCTAAATGTCAAAAAGTCACTGTTGCAACATTGTTAGTTTTAAAAACGCAGATGAGTAACAGAAACTAGAAACACTAAGTCCAGTTCAGGAAAAAGATAAATATGAAACTATAGGAATTAACACTGACAAAACCAGGAGACAAGTTTTACTATTTCTTAAGCATCAAATCCGGTTTCATCTTTTTCTTAAGAATAAAAACTAACAGAATCTTTACTTTTGTTATTAAAATTTCTTCATTAATTGAAAATGGGAGGAGGGGTGCTTTACCAGTACAATTACCAGGTTCTGTAGTATTCCAGATTTCTGTTGATAAATGACTTTGTATATAAAACAATCTCCATTTACATATATCTTGTTTCGGTCATGGTAATAAAGGAGATAATAGTTGTTTGTGCTGTAAAGAAATGATACTGTTTGAAAAGTGATCTCAAATGACTGTTGTCAGCGCTAGCTGATCACAGACGGTTGTTAGCTGTCTGCAGCTTGGTCAGTGATACCGTCCTGTGAAACATGAGTTGGAGACATCAGGTACTTCTGTTGCTTCATTAATGACTTGGGCTCAAGTTTACAAAAAATTCATTTAGTCTTTCAGTGCTGACTAAACAGTTTGCCTACTGATTAATAGAAAGCTACATTATCAATGAAGTTTCACTTGTCTTTTATATGTTTCTCTTATCAAAGAGTTTTTTCTTTTTCTTTTTTGGGTCAGGGTTCCAGTTGAGCCATCTCTCTTGTCATTATCACCAAGTCACAATCAGGTAAAAATTATATTCTGTGTTAGTTTTGATTCTTTTTTTCACTTTTATTAGTATTTATTTTATGCTGAATTTACTCCCAGGTCATAAGCTTTTGTTTATTCAGTTACTTCCGGGATGTCTTGTTCTTCTGTGGAACTTCCTCTTCTGTTTTAGGAACAATCTGCACTTTTTCAGGAAGGACCATCTCAGTGTGACAGAGAAAGCTCATGTGGGGGTTAATCTGCCCTTGAGCTCTAAAAGTTCTGCACCACATCTTGAGAGCTTTGTTTGCCTGGATGTGCTCAATGACCAGAGAATCTACATCTAAACTCTTAAGTTCAGCATTACTCTCTGCACTTTTAAGTATGTACAGCAAAAATTCACTCTTTTGGGGCCACCAACCTTGTGTCCATCCCAACTGTTTGACTTGGGCACACCTACCAGCTCCACCATTGTAATGACGGAATGACATACATTGCTTCTTCAAAGTAACATCTTTCAGATTCTTGGTGGCTTTTTGAATATGCATACCCTTGATGGCCTGGTCAGTTTCACAAATGCTCTTAAAGCAAACACAAGGATTTGAACCTCTTGATTTGCATGTTTTGTAGGGTTTTCTGGGTCAAGTGAATAGCAAACCATTTTTAGAGATTACCTCTGGTCACTTTTGGGAAGAGCAGTTTTGATCTTTTTTAACAAAGATGGTTTTCTTCTTTTGTAATTCTTAAATTACTGTTAGTTGTCAGATATCTGTGAACTTCACTTACCCTTCTTCCCAGTCACATAGTTAGTATAACACGTACTCCTGATACTTGCTAACGATGTTTTAGATACCAGACAAAATAAATCTTTACCCACGTGATGGCTTTATAGTATATAGAAGAAAACAGTGCAAAAATGAGAAAAAATTCACAGAAAACACATTTAAAGAAATGCTAGGTGACTACAAAATAAAAGTTGGGTCAGTAGTAGTTCCCTAAATTGATGAGTTGATACTTATCCTCACTTGCATATGCAAATTGACTTTTGTTTCAGCCGTCCCATACAGACTTGGAACTTCATCATCGGAGGAGAGAACAATTAGTAGAGCGAGCTCGGAGAGAGGCGCAGCTTGCTGCCTTACAGTATGAAGAGGAGAAAATAAGGACCAAGCAGATTCAGAGAGATGCTGTCCTGGACTTTGTGAAAGTGAGTCCTTTGAATTCATTTAATAATATTCCTGTAGTTTCTTAGAAGTGCTTATTTGTTTTGCTAAGGCTATCATTACTTATTGTCTTAATTAAAATGTCAACTTTTTCCCCCTCTTATAAGGAATCTTGAATAAATAGTGTGAACATCTCCTGCTTATGATTAGATTAATTGTCCTCATGTAGATAGGCCTGAGGACAATTAGACGGAATGCTCTTGCTCTCAGGACAGTAGTCTCTTCCTCATAGTTAGGGATCACTTTACTGTCCAGCTGCCATTTTCTCAGTCTCTAGTGCATTAGCAGAGATCAATAATATTATGAAAATGAAAGTACCATGCCAATGTAAAGCATTGTTAGCTAACCTATATCTAACTTCCTGGATCTGCCCAGTACCAGAAATTGGCGAGACTCACAGGCCTTTGGAGTCAGCTTTGATCCTTTCCTTTCTGTTCTCTCTCCATACTTACTCAGTTATCAACTCCTGTTAATAGGTTTTTTTTTTTTTGTTTTTTTTTTTAACATTTACAACCTTTATAGTTACTTCTAAATCTGGTTCATTTTGGGGGTGGGGGAGTTGGCCTGAATTGCTTATGGTGTTCTGTTCTGAAATTATCTTGGATTTTTCCTTCATAATTAAATAATTATTTGTATTTTTGTTTGTTTAATATCTGTTTCATTTATCTGTGAACTTTGTGAAGGCAAGGACCATGCCTTTCTTGTTTATTCACTGCTGTGTCCCTAGATGTTAGCTGTGTCTTAGCTGATAGTAAAGCTTAATAAATGTTTGGTAAATGAAGGAACCACTCATTTCCTCCACTTTCCCTCCTGTGTTTCTTAACTCTAACCAAAGACCATCTTCTTTAAGTATCATATACATGATAAGTTCTATTTTTTCTCAAGGTATCAGAGAAGATGATAATTGCCTAAGGTTAAATACTTAGCTAGTAAGTGGCAAAGCAAGGATTCCAATCAAGACAGGCTGAACAGAAAATGGAAATAAGGTTGATGGAAAAGAAATAGCTACTTTAAGAGAAAAAAAAAAGACAGGCTGGCTCTGAACCCTACACTGTGACCGCAATGCTATACTGACTCTCAGTAAATAATAATGGATACCTCATACTATGTTCTATGTGCTGTTCTATGCATTTTATATAAATTAACTCATTTAGCTTACCTTCTGGAGAAGTCATAGCTAGTAAGACATAATCACATTGTAGGTGGTCTTGATTAAATGTCAAATTAGAGTTTAATTCTGATCTGTTAGGCATAAAAAAATTGTAAGTACTTAAGCAGAAAAAAACAGGAAAGATACTTCTGAAAACCTAACCTATTGGTATTGAATATGTTAGAAAGAGACTAAGAAAGGAGGAAATTGAAATGGAGAATAATTATAATAATTAGACTAGGGTGCAAATTGAAGGCATAAAACTGCATGATTTCTAAGGTTCCTGAGAAGAAACAGTGTTGCATAGTGGTCAGAGCTTAAAATCAGAAGTATCTGAATTTGAATCCAACTTTGCTTCTCAGTATGTGCTTAACTTTTATAAAGTTTCTAAACCATTCTGCACCTTTAGTGACTATTTCAGAATTATTATGATACATCTAATACTTTTACTAGTTTGATGATTGCTACACACCCTACCACAACAATAGATTTTTAAAATTGTAGGAGAAATTGCAAGAGAGACATCATCATGTCTTATATATAGATGTGTAGTGAATGTTGACTAACTCATTGAAGATGATGGCGGGGGTGGAGTCTCAAAGCAAGACTTTTTTCTTATCCCCACCTGAGGACATTTCTTCACTGCTTTCAGAGGGAGAGGAAGGGAGAAAGAAAAGCATTGATGGGAGAGAGAAACATGAATAGGTTGCTTCCCGTACGTTTCCAGACCTGGGATCAAACCCACAACTTTTTGTTTACAAGACGAAGCTTCAACCAACTGAGCCACATCAGTCAGCCAAGATTCTGAGGCTAAAAAATTGGTTTTAATAGGAATCTAGTGTTCTGGAAAGAATGTAGGATTTGGAGTCAGAAGACCTAGTTACAAATCTCAGTTATGCTATTTACCAACTTTGCAACCTTGCACATATCACACAACCCCTCTTGTCCTTAATTTTCTCATCTTTAAATGATTATGATGTTTGTTTATCTCACAGAGTAGGAGGAAGAATTCTTGAGATACTGTATGTGAGAACACATTGTAAAGCACTGACTATACAGATGGTATAATATTGTTTTTTAACATAATAACGGAAATTAGCAAATTGGGAAGAAGAGCCAATTGGTTTTGAAAATTATAAATTTGTCTTTGGATGTGTTGAACATGAGGTGAGAGTGGAGTTTCCAAGTAGAGTGTTTCCACAGGCAGTTGAAATGCAAATGTGAAATTTGGCTGATGGATGAGAGCTCAAGTTCTTAGCATTCTGGCAGTGCTTAAAGTTAGAGAGAGAACAATTTCACTGAGAGAATATAGTCAGAGTTCATTACTTTGTGAATCTGTCTGTATGCGAGTCTATGTAAAAATAAATTTTTAAATGTCTATTTATAGATGCTTATAGACATAAAAGTACTGTTTGTCATTTTATTGCCTTTCCTCATTTCAATTGTAAGCTATTTAAGGAAAAGAGCAATATCTTCTAATCAGTTAAGTGTAGAAAAATGTTATACACAAGAGATACAGAAATTAATACAATTATTTCAGTAAATAGAATTTATCATTTCTAATGTTAAAGATTCTAATCAACTTCCCTTTTTGGGGGGCTTGGGGGTCTATAGCAAAAAGCATCACACAGTCCACAAAAACCACCCCCCTTCAATGGCGAGGTAAGTCTGCATAATCACCTTTACTTCGGAATTTTTTATTTCAATGGAAATGAAATGTTTGGCTTGTGATTATCATGTGTTTTCAATTATCTAAATATGCTATTTTCTCTTTTCTCCTCACAAAATTCTGTTTATTAAGGGGAAGAAGACATAGGCCAGGGAGTTTATCAGAATCTGTAGATCAGGGATTTTTTAAAGTATACACCTCCATCTGGAGAGTATTTCCCTTCCATCCCCACCAGAGGTATCGTCTCCCTCGTCCATTTTGGAAGTATATCACGTAGTGAGAACTAGTCCTGAGAGAGAGGCGTATCCAGCACAGGAGGGGATGGTGTCAGTATTTAAAAAAAACTCGACACAGTATTTTCAACTTCATCCCTCATTTCCTAAGTGTATGTGTTGTTGATTATATTTGTCCACAGTAGTTAGCGCACTGTTCCTTTTTTACCCCACATTTCCTTCTTGGTGGTAATTCTGGAGAATTCATTATCTAAAAATTAAAGCTTCTCAGGAAAATAACAATTCTAAAATTTTCAATTATACTCTTGTTTTTATCTGAGAAAGGTAATAAAGAGATGCATAGACTAGAAATCATGACTCTTGAATTTATTGTTTTTATTTGTCATTGGCTCAATAAATAACAAATTCTGGCTTTCTCTTCCGTGAACAAAGAATAATTAATCCCTCTTTCCACTTTGGTTTAGAAAGTTTTTAGGCAATAAGATCATATTTGAAATTGTTCAAGCTCTTTGGAAGAAAATCATTACTCAGAACCAATTTACTAGCTGTTGTGGTATATGAATTCCAAATTATATTCAGTGTGGTCCTGTATGTTAACATCTTCACAAGTATGTCTTAATATGTCTTTTTGTGTATTTGTGAACTATGTCATGCGTGTGCAGTTTATTTTTGACATTGCTTCATTTTCTCCACCTCTCCAGTGTCCCTTCCCATCCAGAAGGTCTCAACACACTGATGATAGTGCCTTGTTAGTGGTAAGAACCTTGCACAAAATGGAGTTTTAAATTGCTGTGTCTAGAGATTGGAGAATAGCTATTGTATTTCTCATTCAGAAGTGATCCAAGTATCATAAAACATGATGGGCATCATTGGTAAATGCTTTACAAAATGGCTAGAACTGTTTTCCTACATTTCTAATCATGATTTATGCAGTGACCCAGTGTTCTGCAGCTATGGCTGAAATATCTTTGTTAATGTTTTCAAAAGTAAAACATTTGCATTGAGAACCATATTGGCTTTATATGTGTGTTGGGAAGTTTTTACATGTCATTTCTAATTCCAGGTGCACTTATTTTATTAATTGTTAATTTAGCTAATGAGTTGCATGTGTTAAATGGGTTTCTTTACTCTGTGATGCTAATCATACAGCTGTGTATTTGGCATCCTATTTTGTCATCTAAAGCTACTGAAAATCTTAAAGTTTAAAAAATGACTTATATCTCAAGATTATCGCTCCATGCCTATTTTTAAACTCTGGGAAACATTAACTTTTGGAATGCTATTCACTGATCATTTTTAACACTGGTTTACTTTTAATCCCTGTTTATCAGCTGAAAATCAGTATAACACGAGAACTTTATCAATAGTTTTACTTTTATCAGACTTCAAAAGTAATTCTAACCATTTACATAATTTTTCCATCATGTTGTATTTTTTTCCCTCTAGTATTGAAAATTAGCAGTTCAAAAGTCTGCTCTCCCTGTCAGCTCCTCTCTCATGTGCTAGTAACTGCCTCAGTTTTGTGTGCTTCTGCATGAACTGTGTACTGAAGTATAAGATTCCTATTACGTAAACTTCCACTGTCTGTTCAAATTTCTATGTGTTCTGAGATTGTTTCCTTTGAAGTAGAAAAAGCACATTTTAACTGGTCAGTCTTACAGGTGAATGTAGCCAGCAGCTTCTGGAGTTTCAGGGGAAGTTCATTGACATGAGAAGTGACTAGTTTAAATTTTTTTAAATATATTTTATTGATTATGCTATTACAGTTGTCCCATTTTCCCCTTCACTCCCCTCCACCCTGTACACCCTCTCTCACCCACATTCCCTCGCTTTAGTTCATGTCCATGTGTCATAAGTTCCTTAGCGTCTACATTTCCCATACTATTCTTGCCCTACCCCTATCTATTTTTTACCTACCATTTATGCTATTTATCTCTGTACCTTTTCCTCCTCTCTCCTCCTCCCACTCCCCTGTTGCTAACCCTCCATGTGATCTCCCTTTCTGTGGTTCTGTTCCCTATTCTAGTTGTTTGCTTAGTTTCTTTTGGTTTTGTTTTAGGTGTGGTTGTTAATAATTGTGAGTTTGCTGTCATTTTACTATACATGTTTTTTTTTTATCTTCTTTTCTTAGATAAGTCCCTTTAACATTTCATATAATAAGGGTTTGGTGATGATGAACTCCTTTAACTTGACCTTATCTGGGAAGCACTTTATCTGCCCTTACATTCTAACTGATAGCTTTGCTGGATAGAGCAATCTTGGATATAGGCCTTTGCCTTCATGACTTGGAGTACTTCTTTCCAGGCCCCTTCTTGCCTGCAAGGTCTCTTTTGAGAAATCAGCTGACAGTCTGATGGGAACTCCTTTGTAGGTACCTATCTCCTTATCTCTTGCTGCTTCTAGGATTCTGTCTTTAATTTTAATCTTGGCTAATGTAATTATGATGTGCCTTGGTGTGTTCCTCCTTGGGTCCAACTTCTTTGGGGCTCTCTGAGCTTCCTGGACTTCTTGGAAGTCTATTTCCTTTGCCAGAATGGGGAAGTTCTCTTTTATTATTTGTTCAAATACGTTTTCAATTTCTGGCTCTTCCTCTTCCCCTTCTGGTACCCCTATAATTCGGACATTGGAACGTTTAAAGATGTCCTGGAGGTTTCTAAGCTTCTCCTCGTTTGTTTGTTTGTTTGTTTGTTTTAATTCTTATTTCTTCATTCTTTCCTGTCTGGTTGTTTCTTTCTTCCTTCTGGTCCACTCTATTGTTTTGAGTCCCAGTTTCCTTCCCATCACTATTGGTTCCCTGTGCATTTTACTTCATTTCTTTTATGGTAACCTGCATTTGTTCATCTAATTTGCGACCAAAATCAACCAATTCTGTGAGCATCCTGATCACCAGTGTTTTGAACTGTGCATCTGATAGGTTGACTATCTCTCGGTTGCTTAAAATGATGGGTTCTGGGGCTTTGATTTGTTCTTCTGTTTGAGCCATCTCTCTCTCTCTCTCTTTTTTTCTTTTTTTTGGTCTGGTCGCACCTGTTACATACAGTAAGGGTGGAGCCTTAGGTGTTCACCAGGGCAGGGCACCTCAGTTGGTGGGTTGTGATGTTGTATGGGGGGGGCGGGGTCGAGAGGGAACATTGGCATTGCTGTGTTCTCCGTGGGACCTCAGTCCCCTCTGCTGCTCCCCCCAAGCAAACTGGGCCCTTTTGGTGCCACTTCCAGTGTGGTTGGGCTTGTGCACACCATGGGACCCTCTAAGAACCTCCCCTGTGAGGCTGGGTGTCTCTCCATGCGCCTCAACTCCCACAGGTGACCTCAATCAGTGTTCCGAGGCTCTATTTCCCAGTGCTGGGATCCTGGGTTGCGTGCACTGCCTTGCTTTACAATCCCCGTCTCACTGGGTCTGCCGGTTTCCGGTTGCCACCCCTGGGCCAGGGTCTGCCAGCTGCCGTCTGCGCACTCAGGGTCCACCCGCTGCGGTCTTGTGCACCCCGGCTGCCTTATGCCCCACCACTCTCTGCTCTCCGCTCGCCTGGGTGCTCGTGTCCGCCTCTCCTACCGGTCTGGATGAACAGGTCTGATTCAACTTCTTGGTTGTCCGACTTCCATTCAGATCAGTTTTCTGTCATTTCTGGATGTTATTCTGTTTCTAAATTGTTGTTGTCTCTATTTTGGTTGTGCGTGGAAGTACGGTGCATTCACCTATGCCTCCATCTTGGCCGGAAGCTCAGAGGTGACTAATTTAAATTAATGCAGAAAAATATTGAATGTCTGTGATGATTTGGACACATTACCAGAGTTATCTCATTCACTCCTCACAGCAACGTTAAGGTGAAGCTTATCACCGCTTTACAGATGATTACTGAGGCACAGAATGTCTTGTCCAGAATGTGACTTGTCCAAGGTCACAGCTACTAAGTACCAGGCTAAGTTTAAATCTCAATCTGGCTGACTTGAAAACCTTCATTAAACGCCACGTTGTATTCCCTCCCACACTATAATTGAAAACAATTTAGGAAACCCAAGATGAGGTTTAATAACATGTATAGTAAGTGATATAAGTCTGAGTTTCCAGACTTTAATGTCAAGAAAAAAGTGGAAGTTGGAAAAACAACAAAATCCCCTTCAGCCGTTTCAAAACACATACATTTGTCCTTTAGTTGTCAGTATTCATATCTCACCTAAATTACATGATCTTTACTCTTTCTGCCATCTTGGAATCTGAGGGGGCCTGCTAGGAACAGGACTTCTATAATGGCAAATATGTCTGGAAGACTGTGGTCCAGGGCCATTTTTGCTGGCTATAAGTGTTGTCTCTGGACCAGAGGGAACACACAGCTCTTCTTAAAATTGAAGGAGTTAATGGTCAAGGAGAAACGAAATTCTCTCTAGGTAAGAGATGTGCTTGTGTATACACAGCAAAGAACACCACAGTGACTCCTGGCAGCAAATCGAACAAAACCAGAGTAGTCTGGGAGAAGGTAACTTCTGCTCATGGAAACCGTGGCATGGTTCAGGCTAAATTCCAAAGCACCTTTCCTGCTAAGGCCATTGGACACAGAATCTGTGTAATGCTGTACCTCTCAGGGGCTTAAACTTATTGAAAACTAAATAACCCTGGCTACTGTGGCTCAGTGGATTGAGTACCAGCCTGCAGACTGAACGGTTGCCAGTTCCATTCTCAGTAAGGGCATATGCCCGGGTTGCAGGCCAGGTCCCCAGTTGGGGGCATGCAGGAGGCAGCCGGTTGATATTTCTCTCACACATTGATGTTTCTCTTCCTCTCTTTCTCCCTCCTTTTCCCTCTCTCTAAAAATAAATACACATTTAAAAAAAAAATAGTGCTGGCTGGTGAACCAAAGGGTGGCCGATTCGATTCCCAGTCAGGGCACATGCCTGGGTTGTGGGTCAGGGCCCCAGTAGGGGGTGCTTGAGAGACAACCACACATTGATGTTTCTCTCCCTCTCTCCCTCCCACTCTCAAGAAATAAAATAAATAACATTTTTAAGAAAGAAAATGGATTTGTCTTCTTGTAAAAAGAAAAAAACTGCAAGGTCCATGTCACATATTTTGAGTGCAAACTAGTGTCCAACACTGCAAAAAAGTCATATTTTAAATCCTACCTTTGATCTTTCCAAAATTACTCTTCAGTTGCCTCATACAGTGAAATTAAGTCCATATTTCTTAATATGGCCTACAAGTATCTTAGACTAAAATCCAAACTTCTTAACATGGCCTGTAGCTCTTGCAAATCCTGACTACTGTCTGTCTCATCTCTGTGTTCGTGCTATGCCAGTAGTTTCCAGCTTTCCAAATCCAGCAAGCCCTTTCCTACCTACCCTTGCAATGCTATTTCCTCTGCTTGGAATGCCTCTTCCTCCCAGCATTTACCCTGTGGTTAATGCTTTCTCATCTATCTGGTATCAGCTCAAATGTCACATCTTTAAAATGGCTTTTCTACAACTCTCCACCCTCAAGTCAAGTTTATGTCTCTATTATTTTTATACTACTTTTAGGTAGGTGTTTGTTATTATATATCTCTCCCTTATTAGACTACAAGACTGTAAGTTTCATGGGCCCAGGGATATTCTCTTGCATTTACATGTGTATACTCAATCAATATCATAGTTGTTGGGATATATTACATGCTCAATAAGTATTTCCTGAATGAACCCCTAAATGCTATGCATTTAATAATCCTCATTAAATTGTTTCATGATGAAAAGGTCTGCTGATAAGGCAAGGTAAATGTTGAATTTGAATGATTACAACAATAAATTTATTGAAATTTAAATAACTTGAAATATAGAATTTAAAATAAGTATTAGTAATATTTAATATCAGTTATTCTAACATTTTCTTTGGGCTGCTCTTCAGGTTTCTGTGGTTTTCTTTTATGTCCCACCTGCATCTTTTATTCCATCTCTACCTACTTTCTCTTCCGTCTACTTCCTTTTTCCTTCTTTGCCAACATAGTGGCTTTTAGCCTTTTTATATTTGAGGTTGACAGTAATTGCAGTACATTTGAGTATAAGGAGGCCCAGGAAATCTCAACAGGTAACATATACACATTGTATTGCTGCTGTCACCATCTTGCTCTTTGGTACATTTCTTCAGTTTTTTCTGGCTTAAGGCAGGTTATGGTGCAGTGTATATTACACACATGGGGTGTGGGGAGACACTGCTGCCTGTCATCTCTCATTAAAAGTAGTTGTACTTATTTTATTGACCACCCACACACCTTTTTTCTAAACACTCACATATGTTTTTGTTCATCTATCCCATGATTCATATATTTGTGATCCTAATTTAAATTTCTCAAAATTATTTAACTAAAAAAGCCTTTATTATCATTAAGCTGTTGACATTTTGTTGTCTTTTAATAGGTACAGTCTTATCCAACACCCTTTGTGAAAGTCCTGTCTTCTCTGATTTCCATTACCCACCAAATGAAAAAAACTGTCATGTTTTGTGCAGCTTTTATCTGTAATCAGAATTGTGTACAACAAATACTAATACTTACTCTAATATATCTAATTAGTTGTATGCAGGTTGATGAATGGATAAAGGAAAAGGAGAATTCTACTTAACCTCCTGTAGGTCATTTGGACTTTCTCAGAGGCAGAAATAATATGCCCTAAGGGGTGATGCAGAATTCTCATGTTTTGTCTTCTAACATCAGAGCTATTAAATTGAATTTGGATTAATATTGAAAAAATAATTGTTCTTCATACTAGTTCTACTTAGTTAAAATGACCTTTTTGAGTCCAAAACAAAGATGGATGTAAAGAGGACCACACCAAGAAACATCATAATTAAATACCAAAGATTAAAGATAAAGAGAAAACCATAAAAGCACCAAGAGAAAAGCATTTAGTTACCTATGAAGGAGTTCCCATCAGACTGTCAGCTGATTTCTCAAAATAAACTTTGCAGGAAAGAAGGGACTGGCAAGAAGTATTCAAAGTGATGCAAAACAATCTACAACCCAGATTACTATGTCCAGCAAAGCTATCATTTAGAATCAAAGGGTAGATAAAGTGCTTCGTAGACAAGCTAAAGCTAAAGGAGTTCATCATCACCAAACCATTATTATATGAAATGTTGAAGGCACTTAAGAAAAAGAAGATCAAAATTATGAACATTAAAGGGGTAATAAATATATAACTTATCAGCAACAGAATTTAAAAAAATATCCTAAGAAACGTCTGGTCAAGATGGAGGCATAGGTAAACACAGCTTGCCTCCTCACACAACTACAGCAAAAATTACTACTGGACTAAAATATCACCCAGAATCATAAAATCGAGTTTATGGAAGTCTAACAACCAAGGAATTGAAGAAGCCACATTCATCCAGATGGGTTGTGGGGTGGAGACACAGAGATGTAGAAAGGTGCAGAGATGTGAAACAGGCTGGTCCCACACCCATGTGTGGTGGATAAAAATCAGGAGGGATACCTCAGGAGCAAGGGATCCCAGCCCCACACCAGACTACCCAGCCCAGAGTTACAGCATCAGGAAGATAAGACCTTATAAATGTCTGGCTGTAAAAACCAGTGTGGACTGGGATAGTGGAAGACACTTGGAAATTCTCAGGACTCTCCTCCTATAGGGCCTGCAACAGACTTAGGACTTAACGCAGACTCACTTCCTCTGAGGTTCGACACCAGGGCAAGAGCTTTAAGGGCAGCAGTGTAATGTTGGAGAAATTACAGTGACTGGCATAAGGGGGAGTTCAGGAGACAGCTTCCTGCTGGACAAAACTTCGGAGCCTAGGCAGCAGCATTGTCCCCTCTCTGAGCCCTCCTCCACACAGAGCCACAGAGTGGTGACATGGCTTGCTGCACCCTGATGATTACCTATGGCTCTGCCACATGCAAATTACCAGTGCGCTTTTCTACAATAACCCACACAACTAACACAGGGATGCCTAAATGAAGAGAGAAATATGGCCCAAAGGAAAGAACAAAAGTCCCAAAAGTGAACAAAATGGAGATAAGCAACCTCTCAGATGCACAGTTCAAAACACTTATAAGGGTACTCAAGGAACTCATGGTGTACTTCAACAGCGTAAAAAAGACCCAGGCAGCAATGAAGGATACACTAAGTGAAATAAAGAACAATTTACAGGGAAACAACAATAAAGTGGATGAGGCCAAGACTCAAATCAATGATTTGGAATATAAGGAAGAAAAAAACAACCAATCAGAACAAGAAGAGGAAAAAATAACTTTTTAAAAAATGAGGACAGTCTAAGGGAGCCTCTGGGACATCTTGAAATGTGCCAACACTGGAATCATAGGGGTGCCAGAAGGAGAAGAGGAAGAGCAAGAAATTGAAAACTTACTTGAAAAAATAATGAAAGAAAACTCCCCCGTATTTGGTGAAGGAAATAGACATGCAAGTCCAGGGTGCACAGACAGTCCCAAACAAGATGGATGCAAAGACACCCACTCCAAGACACATCATAATTTAAATGCCAAAAGTTAAAGAGAGAAACTTAAAGGCAGCAAGAAAAAAGCAGTTAATTCCCTACAGGGGAGTTCCCATAAGACTGTTGGCTGATTTCTCAAAAGAAACGTTGCAGGCTAGAAGGGATTGGCAAGAAATATTCAAAGTCATGCAAAGCTGTCATTTAAAATCAAAGGACAAAGTGCTTCCCAGACAAAGTAACGCTAAAGTAGTTTATCATTACTAAACCATTATTATATGAAATGGTTAAAGTGACATATTTAAGAAAAAGAAAATCAAAACTATGAACATTAAAATGGCAAATTCACAAGTATCAACAATTGAATCTAAGAAACAAACCTAAGAAAACAAGCAGAACAGAAACAGAATCATAGATATGGAGATCATTTGGAGGGTTATCAGTTGGGAGGGGAAGAGGGAGAATGGGAGAAAAGTTTCAGGGATTAAGGAACACAAGTTGGTAGGTACAGAATAGACAGGGGGATATTAAGAACAGTGTAGGAAATGGAGTAGCCAAAGAACTTATATGCATGACCCATGGACATGAACTAAGTGGGGAGATTGCTTGAGGGAATGGGAGGTACCTGGTGGAGGAGAATAAAGGGGAGGAAAAAAATGGGACAACTGTAATAGCATAAACAAAATATATTTTTTAAAAATGTGAGCAAACAATGGAACAGAAACAGTCATAGATGTGAAGAACATTGGGATGGTGGCCAGTGGTAAGGGTGGTCTGGGGAAATGGGGGGAAAAGGTGACAGGATTAATTACGAATAGATAGTTACAGAATAGGCAAGGGGATGAAGAGCAAGTATGGGAATGGAGCTGCCAAAGAACTTATATACAGAACCTATGGACATGAACTAAGCAGAGGGGATCGCTGGAGGGAGTGGAGAGTGCAGGGAGGTATTCATAAGGGGAAAAAATCAGGACAACTGTAATAGCATAATCAATTTCAAAAAGCCTGTTCGACATGAAAAAAATAAAACAAGCTCTGGGTTTTTTCTCTTGTCATAGGAACGGCACAGGACTCATTAGTTTCAAGGCTATTTTATTAAAACAAAAAATTGATGTTTCTTGTTTTATTTCTGCGTAGAATTGTTTTTACCATCATGTCTTTCATTTCTTGATACGGTATGAAGTGTTGAAATAGTTTGAATTATACAAGTGGAAAACTATTTTATAAATTATGTCCCCCCCCACCCGCAAATATTCTCTCTGCCCTAATATCTTAGTAAACCATTTGAAAGTTTGTTAATGACCTTTCCTTTTATAGTTTTACTGACCAGATCTTCCTGCCTCCCTGCATGATGTTTTGCTGACAAAAATTCTGCCTTCTGTTTCTTCTCTTTCTCTTTTGAAATGTAGTCAATGTCAGGGTTGAATCAGGTGCGCTGTGCTGCTACCCTGACTCATTCGTCTGCCTTCACACCTGTTAAGGTATCTTTTCTTATTGTAACTCACCAAGAACTTTGGGGAGGGGTTACATAGTGCAGGTCTTAACTTTTTCAATGGATTGGTCCAATAGCAAGCCATCTGAAATCTAGGATTGCATGAAATACATTAAGCTTATAAAACTGTTTGAGTTTAACATTAATTCACTTGAAATTTTTTGAAAGTTTTATCATGCCAGAGATAATCATAGACTGTGTTAATTCTTTATATTCTGATTCTAATTGAAATATCATTCTAATTTTCCTATCAATGGTTATTCTTTTGTCACGAGTAAATTTATTTTGGCTTTGATGTCTAATGTACCTGTAAAATATTTTGAGTCCTAGTCTCCAAAACTATTTAAACTGCCAACACCCTCTACAGTTGGGGTCAATAAGCTGTGACCCCTAGGACATCTGTTTTGGTAAATAGTTTTATGGATACCCAGTCATTCCCTTGTTTATGTATTATCTGTGGCTGCTTTTGTGATTAGCAGAAAAGTTGAAATAGTTGTGCCAGAGATCTTATGCTATAGAAGCCTAAATAAGTACCTGTAGTATATTATTTTTTGAAGGCCTCTAGGGATGGTAATTCCATGTGTTATCATATGATACATAAGAAGTGATTAATAGTCCTCACTGTCAAGATCTTATCCATTTCTAACTCCTGTCTCCTCTTTGTTTTACACTTGATTCTTCTTTTCTTTCCAGAGTGGAGATTTTCTAGTATATAACAGTCTTTATGTAATTAAAAATCATTCTATAGGTCCAGCAGAAGTAATGCCTGCTTGAGTGTGATTGGTAGGGTAATAATATGGATGTAGTAATTTATAGTTTTAATTTGAACATTTCACCTGAAATATCCTATAATGTGTTTGAGTTGTGATATTGTTATGTTATAGAATTACATGCAGCTTTTGTATTAAAAGATTTTGTAATAAAGGAGGAGCATTATTTGTGCTGGACCATATTTGAAAACTATTACAGTGCTACCCTTGTCTTCTCCCTAAATAAACTTTGATCCTTTTACATGTCTTTCCCAGCCTGTCATTCTTTAGGAACTTCCACAAGTTCTCTGTCTCCCATTTTGGCTCTACAGTCCCCAACTACAAATGCATCCATCATTAGAGCCCTCCTGGTGCTGAGCATGAAACAAGGGTCTTGCACATGTCTACTAAGCATTACATTGGCTTTATCTGTTTTGATACTCATTTTGCTCTGTGTCTACTATAATTCTCAAATGTTTTAGTAATACACCTAAATGAAAGTAATTTCCACATCTTGTATGTTTTGTTTTCCAGAATACTTAATTTTGCTCTTGAACACTTTTACTTCTCTAATTTACCAGAGTACCTTAACATTCTACTTCATGTCCTTCTAAATGCTGACCCCAGCCTTATAACATCTGTAAACTTGATAAAACCTTCCCTCTGATGCTACAGGTACCTGAATCACTCATGAAGAAACTTTATAATTCTCTTCTTGTTAACCCTTTGCTAGTCTGCCTCCACTAGGTTCCTCATTTGAGCAGCAACACAGAAAATTATTTGAGGGACTTTTTCAAAATTCCTTCAACAAAGTTACGTAAGTAGTAGCATTCTAATTGTGGAGGAGAGAAATTAAATTCATTATACTCGATGGATACCTTAGGGCATTGGGGCTTATTCTACCAAGAATCATAGATGAGAAAGGCAAGATGTGAATGAGCCGAAAATTCTGTGGTGGTCTACCTTTCTATCAGACCTGCTACACTGTCACGTGATTAGTTTAAAAAGATTTGTTCTTTATGTGTTGATATGCCACATACTTTACAGCAGGTATACACTATATTTAGGAATGATTTTATTTCTTTGGTTGATTAACGAGTCATAAGAGTTGACTTCATATTAATTTCCTTTTTCTTCATTTTCCAATAGTTCCCAAATTTAGTGAATGGCTTGCAAGTGATTTAAACTAAACTATTTTAGTATCCTAGAATGCAAGTCAGTGAGATTTATAGTTTTAATAAAAGTACATTTTAAAAATCATTTTAAAAGTTGCCTCTATTCTGACTTTGTTTTTAATTTTTTTAAGTATATTTTATTGATTATATTATTGCAGTTGTCCCTATTATTCCACCTTAGCCCCAGTCCCTCAGGCAATCCCCACACCATTGTTCATGTCCATGGGTCATGCATGTAAGTTCCTTGGCTACTCTATTTCATATACTGTACTTTACATCCCTATGGCCATTCTGTAACTACCTACTTATACTTCTTAATCTCCTCATCTCTTCACCCATTCCTCCATACTCTTTCCCATCTGGCAACCATCAAAATGCTCTCCATATCCATGATTTTGTCTCTTCTTTTATGCTTAGTTTGTTCTTTAGATTCAATTGTTGATAGAAACATGTTTGTGGCCACTTATTGTTCATAGTTTTGATGTTACTTTTCTTAAATATGTCCCATTGACATTTCATGTAATAATGGTTTGATGATGATGAAGTCCTTTATTATTTTTCTTGTGTGGGAAGCACTTTATCTACCTTTCCATTCTAAATGGTAGGTTTGCTGGATACAATAAGCTTGGATGTATGTCCTTGCCTTTCATGACTTTGAATGCTTCTTTCCAGCCCCTTCTTGCCTGTAAGGTCTCTTTTGAGGAATCAGCTGACAGTGTTATGAGCCCTCCTTTGTAGGTAACTCTCTCATTTTCTCTTGCTGCTTTTAAGATTCTCTCCTTATCTTTAATCTTGGCTAATGTAATTATGATGTGCCTTGCTGTGTCCCTCCTTGGGTCCAACTTCTTTGGGACTCTGAGCTTTCTGGACTTCTTGGAAGCCTCTTTCCTTTGCCAAACTGGGGAAGTTCTCCTTCACTATTTGCTCAAATAAGTTTTCAATTTATTGTTCTTCCTCTTTTCCTTCTGACACCCCTGTGATTCAGATGTTAGAATGTTTAAAGATGTTCTGAAGGCTCCTAACCTTTCCTCATTTTTTTCAATTCTTGTTTCTTCATTATGTTCTGGTTGAAAGTTTCTGTCTTCCTTCTGCTCCAAACTGTTGAGCTGAGTCCTGGTTTCCTTTCTGTCACTGTTGGTTCCTGGTACAGTTGCCTTTATTTCACTTAGCATAGCCTTCATTTTTTCCTCCAATTTGCAACCATATTCAACCAATTCTGTGAGCATCCTGATTACCAGTGTTTTGAATTGTGCATCTGATAGGTTGGCTAGCTCTTTGTCACTTGGCTGTATTTTTTTCCGGAGCTTTGATCTGTTCTTTCATTTGGGCCATGCTTTTTGGCCCAGAACACCTGTTACATAGAAAGGGGTGGAGCCTTAGGTGTTCACCAGGGCAGAGAAACCCACATTCTGTGTTGTGATGCTGTATGTGGGGAAGCAGTCTGAGAGGGAACAATGCTGCTTGCTCTGCTCTCTGCCAGCTTTCAGTCACTTCCCTGCTACCCACAAGCAAATTGGGCCCTTCTGGTGCTGATTCCCACGTGGATGGGTTTGTGTACCTTCTAAGACCCTGTGGTCTCTCCAATGAACTCTCCTGTGAGGCTGGGAGTTTCTCCCACTGCAGCCTCAACCCCCACAGGTGTTTTCAGTCAGAGGCTTTGAGGCTTTATTTCCCCTTTCTGGAACCCTGGGTTTTTCTGTCTGTCTGGCTTCCCAGTTGTTCCTCCTTGTTTATCTGCACGAGAATGTGGGACTGCCCAGTGTGCAAGCCACTGCTTCTCCCGGTCTGCCAGCTGCTGCCTGGCCAAGAGTCCTCTCCACTTGGCTCCCTGTCTTCTTCCTCATACCAGTCTGGATGAATGTTTCTTCTTTAACTCCTTGGTTGTCAGACTTCCATACAGTTCGATTTTCTGTCAGTTCTGGTTGTTTTTTGTTTTCAAATTTGTTGTTGTCCTTTTGGTTGTGCGAAGGCACAGTGTGACTATCTACGCTTCCATCTTGGCCGGAAGTCTATGCTAACTTTTATAGTATGTTTAAAAGCAAGGTAAAACTAAAGCTGTAAAACTTTGACTTGGAATAGGCAGTGTTTTCCCAGGACACAAAGCAATGACCATAAAAAAATGAAGTGAGAGATTTCACCAAAGCTCTTTAGATAAATAAAAATAAAAGCATCTATTATGAAAAGAAAATGTCACAGGTGGGCACAGGTAACCAGGTTCTTGGTGATCGGGACAAAGAATTGAACTGAACACCCAGAATTTATAGTAGAGAACATGGGAGCAGGCGAACTCCAAGCAGAGATTGACCTCATGGGCTGGAGGGACTCTATTACAGGGCAGATCCTTCCTGGCTAGTTTTGGTGGGCTTTTACTGCACATGTACAAGTAGTTGTATTACTTTAAAGCTACCACTCCTTCTCCTGGGGTCTCCCTATACTAGGTTCACCTTTCCCTTCACCAGAGAATTATAGCTCTCCATGTTAGAGATTGGTGAAAAAGAAAGGAGTTATTTATTCAAGTTATACAGACTAAACGTAATGACTTAATGTCTTCGTCAAAATCTCCAAGTCTCTTAAAACACCCACAAACACACACAGTCCTTCCTTCCCCCCTTTGCCCAGTCTTGGGTACTGTATCTCAGGGAAAGAAATAGAAGTCCGTGGCTCAGGCAGCTCCCGGTTCTTCCCAGTAATCCGTCTCAGCTCGTAGGCCTTCCTCGGTTTCCAGCACCATCAGCTGTGTTGCCAGGATCTCCAGCTAAAGCCGCGTGGTAGTTCTTCTCATGGCTGTGGTGGCGGGGGTGGGGGGGGGGGGTCCTCCTGTGCCAAAAGTGCATGATCCTCTCTCCACTGCTACAGCCACATGGCTCCCTCCTTACATGGCTGCAGAAGTCTCCACTCAGCCAAAACCGCATGATTCTCTCTCCAGTGGCTGCCAAGTCTGGGTTTAAATATCCTTCCAGCTTTACTGGGCTGCCATCCATGAGTCTGCGCAGGGATGGCCTGATGTTGTGGAGCCAATCATCTCCAAGCTCTCACGCAGGTGCTGTAACTAGGGGGGGTTGCCT